ACATTGGTTAGAAAAAGTATTATTCCGGTGATCGAAACGCCTTCTACTTTGTTCCAATAGTTTTTTATGCCGTTATAAATTAAAACATATTTTATAGCAAACATCCGAAAATATCGTTTTTATTTATTTGGTAGCAGCTCATGTCCTTTACGCTTTGTATTCAGAAAAGTGGTTTGTAATTATAAGGTTTATTAATATCGTAAAATGTCCATTCAAATAGCAATGCATCTGTCCGTTTCCTAATGTTCCTCGTGGAGTAGAGAACACAGTTCACATCTATTGCAAAGCATTATGGGTCTTTATGATATTTTTGGTGATGGAATAGGAGAGTGTACGGTAGGGCCTGAGACTTTAAGTCCTAGACGTTAATGCAACCACAGTTTTTTCGTGGAATTTAAAAATCTTTTTAGAACCTAAATTTAAGCGAACATGCTTTGTTGCCAAGTTAGTACAAGACAGTGTCAAGTACATTTTCCATAAAATGGGCACTGAGAATTAATTGAAAAATTCATCAGCTTAAGCATCAACTATTTAAGTACTCCTTCCTAATTGATGACAGATTTCAGAAATTGGATTAATACCTCACGAAGTTGATCTCTGGCTGTGCACATGACACTTTTGACTCGTGTATATTAGATCTACGAGGATCAGAAAGCACCTTTTTGTCCCATATTACTGCCATACTAACGATCTTTCCTCAAACTATCCACCCTTGTCTAACCCCAGTCCTAAGTTATGGAAATTCGGGTCATCCCCAACTATTTTTTGGACATTCGGTTGGTGTTATTGAGCTTCTTATTGACAGCTGACCGCTAGAACTTACAGTATGCATCGTCACCATATCACTGCTTGTAGACTAGAATCCAACAGCAAGAATACCATTAGTTAAAATCGCCGGTTACGGGCATGGCCTCCTCATGGTTCACCTGCTTCTGTAGCTCATCTTATTTACTCTTAACTATACAGTTGATTTTCTGAAACGGATGGATGTTGTGTGCAACTATTGTGTTAATTGATGCTAAATCTGTCCTCTATTTCTCTTACTTTACTTTCCTGCCTATCCTTATAAGGGGACTATCTCGCCAGAATCCGTCCGAATGCCTGTAAGTTTTTATTGTCTTTTAACGAGGTCGGATTTTTTTACGAATAGTTTCACTGATTACTGCCTAAGAGTACAGTATTAGTTAAAAAGTAGCGCTCTTTCTAGCCTCCCATACATTATTGACTTAGATTTTTCCAGTATAGATAAGCACTTGGACTTTTAGTCATCCATTCAGACTCGTATGCACATTTGCGGTGAACAACACAAATACTGCTAAGCTTTCCTTGTCGGACCGTCTCAAACCTCTTCGCATTTTCCTAGTTTCAGCAACTAACTTTCATCTATCTCACCTACATTTCCCCCTTCCTAATTTATATCACCTGGGTTG